TCTAGTTTCTAGTTTATACATAGAGTAACTTAAAGATAAGCATTAGATGTACAAACTCTATCTACTGGTAATATTATTTTAAATGTAAAATTATAAAGAAAATTATGCTATAGTAAAAAATTACATTAGAAATTATATTATGCATACATAATCTAAGATAATACTATAAAACTAACCTGAGTAATTAAATTCAATTTGTCCCTAATAGTTGGTTTAGCCACAAACTGATATTGAGCTGCAAATTGATGTTGAGCTGTCGGGCACTCAGGATAGTACCCCCGAAAACTGAGCCAGTGAATTTTCCGGGGTTGCAGCGCCCTAGCTGCAACCTTGGCACGAGTACAGGATATCACAAAACTATGCATCGGTGATCATCCAGTGAAACCATCTATCCTGCCAAGTGCAGCACCATCTACCACCAGTATGGCAGTCTAACCTGAAAAAAGTAGCCTATGTTCGAGTGAGGAAGAGAGTGTCTTGTGGTCCTTATTGTTTCTACTTAATCGGAGGTGTCCTATATATACATGATCCTCCTTCGTACAAAGTAACCTTTTCCTGATTTCTGTTCCAAGTCTCTGACCACTCTTTGAGTTTCCAATACAACCACTTTCCTCTGAAAACTCTTCTGAATCTTCCAACGTCTCATCATACTGTTACAGCATCTTCCTAGTGCAACACAGGTTTGTATCAACCCCTTGTACATCTTCCCACTAACCCTCAAAGCGTTCATCTACACCCCCGACAACTCTTCAACCGCGCATCCCATAAACAGCCCCTAAGCGTATTGAAAGTCTAGAACCACATCTTCACAAACTCAAAACAACTCTCCAACAATTCCAGTATCACTAACCCATCCTTCCAAAACTCCTCCGGCCTTGCCGAGCATTACCGAGGATCATTGATGGAAGCTCCACGAATTTTAACATAACCTTGTTATTTAGCATCTATCTCTGCCGTCTTTTGTATCCACGTTCCAGAAACAGCACCCTACTTATTACAGACATATTAATAGCCTCCTGAATCGTCCTCGCAATGGCCGAGCGGACCTTTCCGTCTTCCAAGATAAGCCATAGATAGTGCAGCTAGGTGGAGTGGGCATCTGCTCTCGAATGATTGCTGGAGGCTGGCCAGCCAAAACCATTCTACCTGCACTTTGCATGACTACAGTAAACCCCTATATACCCAACCACCTCAACAAATGAACAAATGAATAAACGTGGAAACAGGTCCGCAATATCTTACTCTGGGCAGCCATCATCTGCGCCTCCGCCCTCGGAAATCCCATCATGACTCCTCCATCAGCCCTGGCCTCGACGATAGGAGCGCAGAGGCCTGGACCGGATCCATCCAGGGTGATGCAAAGCATCCATATGATCCTCACCGGGTACCAAAGAGCGGCCGATTTGTGGGAATATTCAGGAAACCCGAGTATTCTCCGTCCAGGGGATATCGTCTGCCGCTGAAATTACAGTCATGCTTTCGCGAACCTATCTACATCAATACCCCGCCCCTCCCATAAAAAAACAAAAACGAACGCCCCTCTAAAGAGTAACAAGTGACAATCTTACCTTTGAAGCAGTTTTTGGGATGGCCCTAACCACTCTAGTACTACCGGGAGCCACGTCCTTGAGCACAGCAATCTTAAGCCCAGCAAGAATACTCACCAGTATCTAACCCTTCAATGCCTCGCACATACCTTCCTCACCCAACATCTCAGCGTATATCTGCAGATTGCAGCCGAGAATGACTAGGTCTGCGCGCCACATGCCCTCACCGTTGCAACCCATGTAGATCTCAACGGGCGGGCTGGTGAAGCCCTCAAATGCGCAGCACACACGGGAAGCGGCCTCGGGACGCTCGACACACGCGATGAACCTCGAGGGGAAGTAGGCGGGGGTTTTGCTGGCTTGGTGGAAGCGCGTTTGGAGAAGGGTAACGGCTGGTGTGCTGGTACCGGAAGCACTAGGGAGGTGGAGGCCATTAAAGCTGGGGAGGATTCCGGAGAGAACCGCGACGCCTATCGTGCTGCATCAGAGGAGTGTGAGGGCTAACGATTCGGTGTTTTGGTCCATTTATCTTTTTTTCGTTCTTACAGTACCTTTTTTCTGGCTTGCTTTGGAGCGCTTGTTTGTTTGTTGGTTGGTGGGGCAAGTTAGGTGGTGGAAATGGATGAGAATTATCGATATCGTATGGTTCGTGCGGACCAAAACCGTAACCAGGCTGAAAGAGAAATGTTACGTGGCTGTGCTACTATAGAGGTTAAGTCCTAACATTATTCCTTCTAAAATAAGGTATTTGAACTCACTTTTCAGGATTTGTATAGAGCTTATTAAGAACAAATAACCTGATTTTGATATTATGATAAAAAGTTATAACAGAATATATCATTTACAATAAAATAAAATACTATGATAAATACAAGTATAACTACAAATACAATATTATAATTAGTTAATTATGTTAATCATAATTATTAATACATTGGTAACTTGGGTATTTATGCTGTATCATATTACTCTGTAGTATTATACAATAAAATATAGTAGGTTTAATACTTATACTAATAAAGATTTATAGGTTATTGGTTTCAAGATGTATTTTATGTGAGGGCTTGATACAAAAATAGAATTACTAATCCAAATAGTGTTCTAACTGCAAATGAAACTGTGGGTATGTGTAACACATTTTCTTTATTCACATC